AAGCTATAAACAAAGGAATAGAAATCATGAACGAACTAGATCAAGAGAAACAAAAAGGAAAGAAATTAGATATCCTTATATTTAACTTACAACACTTTACAGAATATATAGAAGACATTGAGATGGGAATGCAGCTCACAAGATTAGGAATTTTTAACCCAAAATTACTAAAACATGACTATTTGTTGCATGTTAATTCTGAGAAATTGTTGAATACAAAAACTTCCACTTGGTTTAAATCAGATACAAACGAAATACTGATAATATCCCATATTCCTCGAGAAATAATAAAAAGCCCGGTATTCGAAATAATTCCATACCCGGATGAAAATAATAATATTTTGACAGAAATAGCTCATGAAAAATATTTTACCCAAGATAAAAAAGTTTATAGCAGAGAAACAAAAAAATTAATTAATAATGAATGTTTAACAGGAATTTTAAACCAAATAACATCAGAATGTAGTTATACTAAAATTTTGCAAAATTTTCAAATCAACTACATAGAACCAAATATAATTTTAACTTGGAATTTACCAAAAACTATATTAAACCATAATTGTATAAATAACGAAATAACAATAGAAGGAAACAATATAATAAAAATCTTTAATTGTTCATTGCAAATTAATGAAATTTCAATTTCAAACAATATGTTAGATTATACTCAAAGCATTTACGTAAGCAATGATGTTATAAAATTAGAACCACTTTCGTTTGTACAAACGAAACAAATTATAAATGCACATACAAAATTTAACAATGTATTCCAGATAATTACAATAACCATATTTGTAATCATATTAATAAGTTTAACACTGTATTTGACATATAAGTTCAAAAGCATACCTAAGAAATTAATTATAAAATATAAAAAACCCAAAGTAGAAGAAACACCTACAATAATAGGAGATATACCAATTCTAAAAGAAGAAAATGTTACACTATATCCAAACTTAAACACCTGAGGACAGGCACTTTTCTAATGGTTGGGGGAGTGACATATCCATAGTCGCACCCACCCTTTAACATAACTTAGCACATAAGCATAAGCACAATTATAAACATTTCTAATATTGTAAACAAAGAGCCTGGTGATAACATCGACATTGGTCAAGATCAAACTGTCCCCCTTTGGTAGACATAAACAATTCACCCTAAATATCACGCCACTGTCAATGTTCCCATCAGAGTACTATCCCACGCATAATTGCTGACGCAGCTCAAACTTCACTCAATTTTGACTCAAACTCTCTCAAAGCGAAGTTTGCTAAGCGACCGCAACAGTTAGATAAATCAGTTCATATTCGGGAAGCAAATCTGAATGTACTCAACAAAAGTAGCCGTTAAGTGAAAATAATAAATTGAAATATATTTTTTTATAGTAACCTAACGTGTAAAACATAATTATATATATATATATATAACTGTGCTTTTCATATGATCCCTAGATATGTATAAAGTTTTCAACAATTCTTCTCAAGTTTTTATTCACTTTTTCAACATTCCCCGGCAAAAATATTTGCATAATTTGCAACTCGTTGGTTTTTTTTTTGAGTGCAGCTAATTACTTGCAATATCGGGACCGGGTCGTGTGCTGCGAAAGGGATTCACTGGCTTGGCTGGCGGCGATGGATGCCACCAGCGCTGTATCCAACTGGGCGCATAGTTGCGGTACCAATGGCTCATTGTGTCTATAGGACCACGCACAAACACACACACGCACACGTACACGAAAAGTAACGGAAACTGCGCTTTAAAATCGTTCTCTTCGATTCTATTATTTGTTTCGAAACTAGCGCTACTTTTCGAAATCAAAACCGAACGCCGCGACGCCTCAAACCGCACTGATCAATATCGTTAATTGAGATAGTTTCGCTTTGCTCGCTGGAGAGCGCACGCTCTCTCATTCTGGCGCTCTTCCTCTCTCTCTCAGTGCTCTGAAGCTCTAGCTGTTAAATTGTTACAGTGTTGGGCAGGCTAAAAGTAGCTAAACACAGAGCTGTGCTCTAAAGTGATGACGTCATGCTGTCTATATCTATTGTTGCCAATCTATGCACATATTTATGCGCCTTAATTAAGTCCTTAAATAATGATGTAAATATTAAATTTAATAATTCACTTTACTTTTGATACATGCTACGTGTTCAAGACTAATTCCGATAAACTTTATTTGGTCCGCAGCAACTCGAGAAAAAAAAATAGCCAGAATTAAAAAAAGCTGAAGCCAGCTTGAATAAAGCTAAACTAACAGCACCAAGCCGTTAGCCGTGACTCGTGCGCTCTCTGTTATTATTAATTATGAACGGAAGGCGATTTCTGGCCGTCCGATGGCGTTGCTTTGGTAATAGAAGCTACCACCATCTGTTGATGCTGTGGCTACGTCATCGCAGCCCAGTCAGAGTCGGATCTTGATTCATGGGCATCAACTTAATTGATTTATGTGCGCGAGCAGCTAGGCCTAGAACTGGACCCCATGGCATCATCGATTTGTTTTTTTTTATGATTCTAATAAGCTCCATTTTTCAGCAGAGTACTTGGAAGAACTTAGAATGTCTTAAATAAAGAGAAAACATATTGACCAAGCCCTATTTTTTGGGTTCTAGATAATAATAACAACATAGCTTAAAACCTGTTTTTCAAGCGATTATCTCTGCATTACCATATATATATATATATACAGAAGAGATCCGAAGCTTGTATACCCTTACGAAAATATAAAGAATTCGGAATGCAAACACTTTGCTTTGAATTCAGGATAAACATATATACAGATATATAGAGGAGTATATATACTTTATGGCATTGCATTATTAGCTTAAATCATTCCGTAAAGGCTATCAATTTGACCTAACCATGCCGAACATTTTAGAAACATTTTGTTTATAAAGATGAAATGATTAATATAATGTTATTTTTTTTTTTGTATCCAATAAGGTTTGGCACAACAAATTGCACAATTTCCAGCTATTTATGCGTCAATAAATAGAAATGAAATTTTTGGCAATGTTTAACAGCTTCCAGGTGCTTGATATTTGTTTAATTTTCAATTGCCAGCTATTTGAGGCACGCTGAATTTATTGCCAAGCTTAACTAGATGTGCATAAAGGTAAATTCTGTGGGCAGCTAGTTTCTACGCCCACGGCACACGGCAAATTGTTATGCAAAAAAGGCAATATCGGCATTAGGTAATTATTGTCGCTCACTCACAGGTAAATGACAAACAAAACAAATAATATGTGCAAATATTTATAAGCAAATACTCACCTGGAGCTGCCAAGAGATTTGCATTGATATTGCGCATACGCAACGTTGCGTCCGTTTCGCATTTGAATGATTCGTTGGAATTTTGACGTTTTTTTAGCCAAGAACATTTCTGACCCATTGTCAGGTATTGTTAGTTAGTCAAACAGGTTTTCAGGTAACGACAAGTTACCCCGCGGTTAATCGAAATTATGTTTCAATCCGAACTCGACACGCGCGTTGTCAACAATCAACTGACAATATTTTTAACGCTCAAGCAATGCAAAATTTAAATAAAAATTGTAACAGAATTGCGTTTAAATTACATCATCAACACGTACACAGACGACTGTGGCAGTGCATTAACATGCTGCGACTAGAATAGGAATCTTGAAAAAATTAGTTTATTTTCCATGCGTACGGGCTTGAACCCAGCGAGCCAGTGGCTGACCTTGTGTGTCCAAAAAGAAAAACCAGACCAGGCGTGCGTAAATTGATCGGCTTTAATGGCGTACACATGAGCACAGATCACATTTGACTTTTTGATTGAATTCGTTACGAGTGCCAAGCTTTTGATATTGTAATTAGCTAACTAGTTGATTTGGCAGGCGTCGTCGTTAAGTGTTTAGTGGATGCAGCACCGGGTTGGCTGCTGCTGCTGCCGCTGCGCTTTCCATGGCCGCTGCGGCATCCTCTTTGCTGCCCGTTTGCGATAAATGCTTAACAATGTCCACCCAATCCCAGCCACGTGCACGCTCGCCCTTGTGATCGGTGCGCTCCCATTGACGTCGCTTTTGCGATTTTGTCAGCTGCTCCTTCTTCGGCTCCTTTAGTTTAGCATCCGCTTGGGTATCCGATATCTTAATTGCACCAACACCGTCGTCCACAGCTGCCACTGTGGGCGCACATTCCGGCTGTGCGGCAGTCAGTTGCTCAATATTGTCTTTAATACATTCGAAGAGGGTGTATGTCATGCCGCAGCCCAGCCATTGTGAAGCCTCCGTACTGAGTGCCATTTGTATTTCCTCCTTGACTGCGGGTAAGCTGCAATAATAAAGGTTTCCATCAGTAGATGGCCAGCGTGGGGCCCCAAGTCGTGCTCACAGATTGCGATTGTAGAAAGTGTTCATGTTAATCGTGGGCGCCTCGTCGGGATAGTTTTCACCCCATTTTAGTTCCACCAGAAATGATTTATAGTTATCCTCTTCGCCATACTAAAGTCGTTATACAATTTAGTTCGATTTTAACTGTGATATTTGCATGCGGCTCTCACTTTATATTGAAATGTGGTCAGGTCAATTTCCTTGAAATTTTCATCGCCTTCGTAAATGGATTGCAGGGCTTCGCGCTCATCTGTCTGTTGTTCCAGCGGTGTCGACATTTTGTTCAAATTACAGTGAATTTATTTAGACAACACACATTTCACAAAAAGCAATGAAAAATTGAAAAATAAAATTATTGTGTCGCAACAAAACAAAGCAACAGCTGAGTGCTGCCGGCAGTGGAAGAAGAAGGCGCATTGCCATTCACAACTGTCGAAAGTACATTACACAAAAGTATCGATACTACAAAACATTTTAGGCGCGATTCGTTTTTCTTTCGTGACACGACGTTCACAGTTCAAAACGACGTTTTCGTCATAGATATCAATAAATAACAATTTTAATTTCATAAAAGTAGTGCAAATATTAAAACTAAAAATTAGTATTAAAGGTTTTATGCTAGTACTAACAATATTTTCTGAATGTTAAAAAATGCTGCAATAAAAAGAGTTCAATGTTTATCAATTGTTAAGTAAATGTCAAATATTAACACAAGTCGTAGATTGGCATATAGTCTATTTACCGATAAAAAGGAAATATGTATATTTGTTAAAAAGTCGCGTGCGTATCGTGTTGGTGTTATTTTGCGTGTATTGCTTGCGTGCTATTGCCTATAAACAACACTGGCATCACACTGCTTTAGTGAGGCAGCGCGGTATATTCATGTTTCCCAGATGCGGCCACACTGCATAGAATATATAAACAAATAGAACCATTGCGTAAAAAATGCTAGTGCGCGCGTGAATCATCGTTATTACCAATATTAACACATGTGTCAGGCGCGCCAACAATAACGTCAACAGCAACAGCTGAGTACAAATAACTATGTCGACAGACGTAGCCGCGGATCCGCTGAAATGTGCAGCGGAATGCGCCCAACTGCTGGAATTCAAGGAGTTTCTGGCCTCAACAGCCGCCAGCAGCGAACTGACCTCTGGCAATGAACTCACGCGCAATGGAAATTGTGTAACGCGCAGCAGCAATGACACTTACAAAGTGAGCGCCGACGAAAAGCGCGCCGAAATCATATCAGCCATTTGGAAGCAGCTTGCTGCAAGAGGATGCCCGCGCGCATTTCAGCTCAAGCTGCTGCACGCGGCCACGGCGCAACTGGAACAGGATATCAGCCATGCCAAGGAGCTGGAGCTGACGGAACTGGATGCCAGTGAGCCGCCGCAATATGATCTATTGAAATTGCAAAAGTTTGTCAGCAATCAGCTGGACAAGCTGCTGCTCAAGTTGACCGACAATGCGGCCATGGAAAAGCTACAGCTGTATGCCGACGACGAGGCTCTGTGCGAGCAGCCTATGTGCTGTACCTGCGCCAGTGTCCCTGCTGCGCCGGCATACAGTGCAGCCGCTGTTAAGAATAAGCCGCGCAAAATGGAGGATCGTCATGTGTGCCTGGAACGCTATGGGGCCATGTATCAGCTGAGCGAGCACAGCGACAGTCGTTTCTTTGGCGTCTTTGATGGCCATTCCGGCGCATTGTCCGCCTGCTATGCAACCAGCCAATTGCCACAGCTGTTGGCGGCGCAGCTGCAGCGTACCCGATTGCCCGACGAGAGCGACGTGGACTACTATCGCAATGCGTTCGAGACGGCTTTCCTGCTGGCCGACGAACGTTTCGCGCGTAAACGCATCACCAGCGGCACCACCGCCGTCTGTGCGCTGATCAACAGCGATCAGCAGCAGCTGTATGTCGCCTGGGTGGGCGACTCCAAGGCCTTGCTGGTGGGCAAACGCACCCAACTGCAGCTGGTGAAGCCGCACAAACCGGAGACGGTCGATGAAAGGCGACGCATAGAACTGAGCGGCGGCAGCGTCATCCATGCCCAGGGCCAATGGCGTGTCAATGGCATACTGAATGTGGGTCGTTCCATTGGCGACTACAGCCTCGAAGCGGTCATTGCGGAGCCCGATTTTGTGGATGTGCAGCTGACTGAAGCACATGATTTTCTGGTGCTCGGCAGCGACGGTCTGTGGGATCATGTGCCCGAATCGTTCGTTGTGGACACTGTCTACGAGTGCCTGGCGGAGGCGACAACCAAATTAGAAGACATTCCCAAACTGCTTGTGGAGGCTGCCAAGGAGCGCGACTCACAGGATAACATAACCGTTGTCCTGGTGCTGCTCAAGACGCGCGAACAGATCAATCAACGTTAAGCCAATCGATTGCGTTTTTTTTTTTTAAACTATTTTAATTGTTATTCTGCATTTGTTGTCTGTTTTTCCATATATTTTATTTGTATTTTCGACGTGTAAATAGCTTTAAGCCCGCCCATTTTTCGATTCGATACACACATACGCATGTGCCTCCGGCAGCCACGCCCCCCTAGGTTGTTGCCACTCGAATAAGCTCAAACACAAATATTTTTTGCACGCCCCGATTATATAGTATATATATACATGCATTTTACAAGCGCATATACACATATTTACATACGAACACAAAATAGTTAACATTGTTTTGGCCGCTTTAATAGCTCGCAGTGCTTCCAACCGCGATTAGCATGCTGTACATAAGGCATATATATAATAATATATATATATATATATATATATAACTTTTTAACCTGCCCAGTTGACAAGCCAAAGCGCATCCAACGAACCGCTCGATTTTACGAGTCATTTTTGAATCAATCACGTAACTAGTGCAAATATTATCAGAAACATTGAGAACTAAAATTGGAAATTTTTAAATAATTGAATTTGAATATCATTCAATTCGATCCCTTGCCAAACTTGATTAGATATAAGCCCAAAAAAAAAATCTATAACTCTGTAACTTTAAATAAGACACAGCAGTCGCTCGAAAACTTAAACCAAATTATAATTTTGAATTTTATGAAGTTTTGTAAATCCGAAAAAGAGACGCTTACTGATTTCTATAAAACAATTTTAATTTGTTTTAAAATATTTCTAGTTTTTGAAAAGTTCTACATGAAAATAATTTCTGTAGCCCAATTTCAAGACGGCTTTTGAAAATTCTTTATACAAAAATGTTTAGAAAAATATAAAAAACAATTTGTTTGCTTTTTTTTCTCTAGGCCAATTTCAAAGGATTTTTGATAAATATTGTTTCAAATTTCCTGATTTTTATTGGCCAGTTTCTTTTTCACGAAAATTTTATATTAAATGCTAAAAATGTAAAAGAATTTTTATGTCACAAGTTTTAAGCAAACTAAATTTATATTATTTTTTTTCCAAACGATTTTTAAGTTAAAAATGATTTTAAAACAAAAAAGAATTGAAAGAAAAATAATGCAAAGGGCATTAAATTATATTATATTGAAATTCGGCATAAATTGTTGAAATTAACTTTTGCAATCTAGTTTTTAATTTTTGATTATTTCTCCAATACAAAAAGTTCTACTTAACGAGCGATCACTGTACAATTGTATTTTTAAGCAAAGAAAATATAGCTACAAACAAATCATGGATCTATAACCTTAGCTAAAAATCTACTCAATAAGATTATCAAATTTGTTCTTTATAGTTAATTGCCTTTTATATAAAATGTTTGTCAATTGGGCATAGACACCCATAGATATACCTAGGCATATTTACAAGGCGCATAAACACACAAACATATTGTTGAGATCCCACACAGATTAAGTACCTTTTTATACAAATCTTCAAGCATTTTAACGAATACCTTTTTAAATACAAAAAAAGAAAAATACAAATTGTTTACAAATATTTTTTTTTATTGGAATAAAGTAAATAAAATAGGCGCATTAAGTTCTAATTGGGGGGCTGTGGGGGCTGGCCGTAGCCCGGGTACATCTGCGGAGGCATGGCCATGGGCGGGGGCATGGCATAGGGATGCGGTGGCGGAGGTGGCGGCGCTTGCATATAGCCATAGCCATGTGCGGGCATGGGAAACGGCATGCCTGGCATCATATTGAAATTGGCCGCCGGCGGATGATAATTGTGATAATAGTTGGAGTGCCAGCTGCCCGGATTGTAGCTGGGATGATAGTTGTACTCTGTCTCACTCGATTGCGAACGGGCTTGACTGTGCTGCTCCCTTGCCTGATTGCGATTTGAGTAATTCTGCGACTGGCGTTGAGCGCGTCGACCACGTTGTCGAGGAGCCGCGGCCGGCAGCTCACTTGTCTCGGTGTTTGTTGTGGTCACCGTATCCACGGAGTCCGTGGAATTGGTGCGCTCACGTTGTCGCTTCTTGCGTTGCTCCCAGCGTGCCTCCCGCTCCGCCTCATCGTCTGAGTAATCAATGAAACGCGCCGGCGGCTCCACATCATGCTCCCACGAGGCATCCGAGCCGCGCACCTGCATCAGCTTGGAGAGTATAACGAATTGTGTGTGCTCCGTCTGCGGCGCACAGTAGACAATGTCGCCAATGTTAATGTTGCGCTCCTTGATCTGCTGATTGGTATTGAAACGCACACAGTAAAGCGGATCGGCCACCTGGCCGAGCACATCGAACACCTGACCCAGCACTTTGCGTCCTTTTTCCAGAAACAGCACAGTGTCCAGATCGAAGAGCATGGAATTGGGCAGCACACTAACCAGCACCAGTTGATCCACTATCGAATGCACTTTGCCCAGCTCAATGCACTCATCCTCTGGCACGGTTATCTCCAGCTGGTGTATGGGCGGCAGCTCATCCAAAAGCATCTCGCCGCGCACTTTTGGCGGCTGGCGACGACGGGGCCGTGCATCACCCTCCACATCGTCATCGTCATCCTCATCCTCACAATCCTCGGTATTGATGCGCTTCTCTATTTTCTTGCGCAGCACCGTGAGATATTCGGCCTCAGAGTTTGAGTCCGAGTCGCTGCTGCTGCTGCTGCTGTCGCTACCCGAGCTCACGGGCACAACTTGTCGACGTATCGCGGAACTGTTGACGGGCACCTCAACTATGTCATCGTTGTCGCTATCTTCTACTTGGGTTACATCCTCCACATCTGAATCCACATCAGAGCCGTAGGCAGCCAGCAAGCTGAGCCCGTTTAATGGTTTTGCTGCTGCCGTGTTTGTTGGCGCCTCCGACAACGTTTCGCATTCCATTGCAGTTACAGCGGTTGTGAGTTCCACTTGAGGATTAGCAACTACTGTGAGATCCACTTGTGGATTGACAGCCACGACTTCATTGGCAACGGCTGTCATTGCCAATTGAGGATTAGCGCCTATTCCCTCGCCGCCATGCTCTGCCTCTGGAATTGCAGTCGAGGCAGTTGTGAGTTCCTTTTTAGGATTGGGAACTATTGACCCATTGCTCATCTCTGTATCATCCACTGCAGTCGCAGCCGCTGTGGGTTCCACTTGAGGATTAGCAACTGGTCCTTCGCCGCCTAGCTCTGCTTCTGCCTTTACAGTCGAGGCGGTTGTGAGTTCCTCTATAGGATTACCGACTACAGGCTCATTGCTCATCTCTGTATCAATCACTGCACTCGCAGCCGTTGTGGGTTCCACTTGAGCACCACCATCTATTCCCTCGCAGCTCAGTTCTGCGTCAACTGGCTTTGTGATATTTATAGGCACTTTTAGTTCTGCTGACTCAACAGGCATAGCACTTAGACTTTCTACTGGATAACACATGTAAAAGCTATATAGGTAAAATCACTTATTTGACTTATTTAAGCCTACCTGTTTGGGGCCCAGCATGTGCTTCCACCTGGCTGCTTATCAACGTATCGACTGGATTTTCTTTGTATGCATCTATTTGAGATGTGGGCATCGTATTTGTGGTTAATTCGTCAACAATGCTTGTTGAATCACTTTTATTTGTTTCCGCCTCAACAGCTGCTTCTTCAGGCACGACGGTCTTTGCATTGGTGGCCTCTTCTTTTGTAGTTAGGTGCGCTGCTGCCTCCACATTTGTAACCAAGTTGTTGGCTGGCGCAGCCCCTGGGTGAGCATCTTCCATAATATATAAATTGCTTTTAAATTGATTTTCAAACAAAAACACGTTTATCAGACGCACGTGCTTGGTTTAAAATAATAAATAGTCGGTCGTGTTATCGATAGACAGCATCGATACCTTTTTGCTTGTATATGGGACGTTCACACTACATTTGAACTACTTTGAGCCAGTGCAACAGTAGTTATGTGTGTGCTCTATAGTGACATTAATTATCTAATATTATTCAATATTTAAAAACATTTTAGAAGTCATGCGTGTTCTTGTTAGGCGCAGCAACTGCAATCTAGGGTACAAATTTAAAAATAAATTTGATATTTCAAATGTTATCGATTGACAGCATCGATACTTATTAGCTTACATATGCTACGTTCACACTTTATGTGAACTACTTTCAGCCAATTTAGCAGGGCAACAGTAGTTATGCGTTTTTTCTATAGTGACAATTAAACTATTATATTATTCAAAATTTTATAACCAATTCAAAATTCTTGCCTGCTCTTATTAGTCGCAGAAATTTCAATATATGTAGGTTAAATATTCAAAAAATAATTTTGATATTTCGAATGATCAAATGAGCTATTATAGCTAAGTTTTATAATTTTGTTAATATTGTTATTAAACCAAAGTAGGATAAAAACTTATATGAACAATAGCCACCGATACCATATATACTTCAATATATATTATACATATATATATGTATGCTAATGGACAGCTCTCCATTTCTAAAATTAACATATTTAACAAAACAAAGTTTATAAACAAATTTTGCATAAAATGTCGAAGAATTTTATTTATTCTTCTATTAAAATCAATTGCTTTTTTACTATTTCGCATAATATAAAAAGCATTTATCAAGCTAGTATTAAGTGCTAAGCTAATGGACTTGCTGTTTGCGAAAATAATTATTAAAATTATATTCAAAGCTTATAAATAATATTACACGTTTTATATAAAATGGCACTCTACAGTGCATTCCAATTAAATTAAGATTAAAAACTTTGTACAATTTTATGGGTTACAATTGAAGCGGCTCGTTCGTTGCGCAGTTTTTCTTTTGGTAAAAAGTACCTCCTCGAAATATACAAGTGGTAAGTTATTACAAAATAGATTATTATTTTTTTTTTTTTAATTTTTGAGTCCTAAATCAGCACATCCTTTGAATTGAAAATGCTTTAAAGATAGTCCGGGTTGGGCTTCTTGAATATCTTATTAAATATCGGTTCAAACGTTACTTTGTGCTAAGGCAGAGTTACATAGTTGGAAGATGTTACATTATTATATTCGAATGTTTTTCAAAATATTTTCAGATAGATGCGCATGAGTGTCATGTGACTAAATCTATAATGTGTAAATATGTATTATCGCAATAATTTGCTAATATCAACGTTTGCCTTACGGTTATGTGAGATATGTGAGAATGTATGTGTGTATGTTGTTAGAACGTACTAGGCTAAAAAAAACTCAAATAATATCGTTAATAGCAAGCATCTTAGCGCTGCATCATCTTTGGTCCAATTGGTGGGCATAGGTCGGTTCCCTAAGCCTTCCAGTCCAAACGATACTCATCAACCAGCAGCAAGTGCTGATTGATTAGCCATCCTGTGTGGATAGTTAAAAATATAGAATTGTTTGCCATACTTATAAATTGTCAATGACTAACCCTCTTTTTGCGCTAAATTTAGAAACTCTTGCCATTTGCCTTGTATGTCCCAATACTGTTCCTTAATTTGATTTCTATCCTGCAGATAGGAGACAGCGAAAAAGTATGCCTTCAGCACATCCTGGGGACGTGTATCAAAATGCAAATAGACACCTAGATATTTCTTGCTCTCCGCTATAATGAAGCGTTCATGTGGATCGAACGAGGAGACAATATTCTCAATGACATTGCTGCTTTTATACTCATCAATGAGATGCTTTACGCTCAAGCCGAGCCGTATGTTGAGCGATACTGATACCATCTGACCGACCGTGACCCGTTCCAATTTGTTGACCTGAAAGAGGGACAGTTATTATCTTTAAACCGACTGAAGATTAACTGAAGCTTACCTGCTGCGGTGTCAGCATGTGCGACGACCTAAAGAACTCCTCCAGGGCTATTAAGTATCGCGACTCGTTGAACGTGCGCAGGCAAACAGCACGCACAGCCTTTAGATTCGCATAGAGATGCAGCGTGACGACAATGTAAAACACGGTATATAGCATAGCCTGGCTCTTGATCATGGTGAGCAGATAGAGGCCCACAAAGGAAGCGATCAAATTGACGCACGTCTCCTGTGAGCTATCCTTGGAAGCGACATCCGCCAAATTGCCGCGCACAGCATGATGTTGGGTTAACGCTGCGCGTGTGGCACCGCCAGCCACGCCCACTATCGCTTTCAGCATGGTGGAGCCGCAAAGAATTTGCGTGCTTAGATGTGGATACTTGGGAAGTACATAGATTTCAATGCCCATCGCCAGATCGTTGAGAAAATCGGCGCGTAGTCGCCACTTCTTAGAATCAACGTCCAGCTGACTGCCTTGCCACCAGGCGAATACGATGCGTCCCAAATGCCCGCTGCCCTCCTTCAATATCCATGTAACTGTCGCCGAATAGGCATTCACATTCTCGCTGCCCACCCCAATTCCCTTGAGTATGGCATGTGTGCAGAGTGTGCCACAAATGGTGCTGCAGAATGCCTGCACTGTGTCCCATATTTGGTACGCCGCATAATCATCGGATACCGAGTCCGGATAGCCTTTGGGCAGAAAGATATTCTGCAGCACACGGAACAGCAGGAACTTCTCCTGTATGACCAGCCTGTCGCCACGTAGAGGCACACGCACAATATTGCTTTGATCTACAAATTGGATGCTTGCACAATTGGTTTGTTTGTTTGTTTGTGTGGTCTTAATATTCACCTGCCGGCGTCACATAAAGTATTTCCTCGCCTTTGGTGCCATATTGTTCACGAAAATGTATTTTCATTATAGTACATTAACTTAATACAATTTTCGGTTACACAAATCGCGACACCAGTGCGTGCACACTCGCAGCGCACAAGCCATATACTAAATGATAACAGCAGCATAACCGTGAGAGTACACATCACCTTTGCCGCACTGTTATTAACAGTGAGCGGGTGCTTAAAAGATTTTTTCTCAACTCTTAAATAACTAACATTGTTGAGGGTTAAGAGTATAAAAAAAAGTAGAAAATTGGTGTTTTGTTTTTCGTTAATAATAATGGGTTTTATTATTTACGTTATACAATTGAACATGAATTATAACATTTTAGTTATCCGATTTGACATAATCGCAGCAAATAATGTGGCAACACTTTTGGTTTTTGTAAGACAGTGTGGCAACACACTCGGCTACGAAAAAGAGATAAAAGAGACGAAACAAAACAAATCAGTCATTCAACAACTTGAATCACAGCACAAGAGTTCGAAACAACAAACTTTTAGACCCCAAAGGGGTCGTTCGTTCATTAATTATTAAAAACTTTACAAACCTTTTTAATTAATACAAGTTTCACAAACACAAATAAATTCAAAATAGTTAAAGTGACAAAGTGACACAGTGATAAGTTTGACGCCCGAGAATAGTCTAAATTTAAAGAGTGATTGTATACAAAAAAAAAAAAAAACAAAGTAAACTTTTGGCAACTACTTGACAAATTTTACTAGTGAGTTCGCCAGGCTACACACACACAACAGAAATACAGCAGGCAATGTCATTAGAGGATATTAAAGCAACAATACGCCGTTTTCCAAAGCTGCTTGGAGGTTTTGGCATTTTAACCACGTAAGTAAAATCAATTGAACAGCAGCAACAGCTGCTATTGCTCACAACAGCAACTACAGTTAATATACACACATACATACAAACATGCCATTTAAAGGGGCTTGTCACATAAATTCTTAGCATACACGATGTGGCGCCACTTGGCCCTGAACAGTTAGTTGCCTGACACTAGAGCTAAAATTTTTTTGAGTGCGTTTTCCGCATTCTTGCCAAATATCGGGCGATTGCACCTGTGACGTCATTTGTTTACAGAAATTGTAAAAAACAAATAAAAGAAATTATTCATTCTGCAGTCTCTGAACAACTGCCAAGTGTTGTTGTTGTTGAAACTTATTAACACAATACGATCAAAACAAACGTACGATTTTGTCAAAATGAGATAGCAAGATAGAGTTAGTTGTTGTTGCTTGTTTGCTTTTCGCTTACCCTACTGCTTCTTGTGCGTAACAGCTGTTCAAGGCCCTCCCCTGATTACCAACACATATGCACACACGCAAGCGCACACAAAAACAAAACAAACTGGCCATCAAAATAGTGCGCAGTAGTTTTCGCAAAATAACGGACCCCCCGCGACACTTGTAGTTATTGGACAGTGCTGCCACTTCCGATTATTTCCAGTCAAATTTTGACCTATTTTAATTATGCGTTAGCAGAAAAGAAATTAAAAGCAACGGGAATATTAATTGGCCGAATTATGGATTTATAATTTAGTCGGCGCTATTTACCAAAAATTGCAATCAAACTTTAAAATTATAAAAATAGCCATTAAAACTATAAATATGCTTGCAAAAAGCAAATTTTGTTTTAGGCTTAGGTTTACACAAAAATGTTTGTAATGTTGGTAATTTATGTTGGTAATTTAAGAGCTTAATATACTTATTATAAATTGAAAAATATGCAAACAGTAAATTTTTAAAACCAATTTCGTACTAAATATGAAATTTAGCTATTTTCCGCCATAAAACTAGCTTTCTGCTAAAAACTTGGCAGCACCATTATCTTTGTTATTGTTGTTGGTTCTGGGAATTTTCGTTGGCGCGTGTGGTGCTGCTTGAGTATTTGTGTGTGGTATTTGTGACACGCCCACTTTTATAAATCTAATAAAAGTTGTTGTTGTTTATCGCAAGTTTATGGCAACAACAAATTGTTGGCAGCAGCTCCTAGCTTGTTGATATTTGGGTCAATTAAAAACGTCAACAACAACAAATTGTAAAAGAACAACAGCACGTGTGTATTTATTTACAATTTCTGTCCTATTTTCAGCGCCGGCATCATACTCTACGAGACACCCCAAATCCGTAAATACTTCTCGCAATATGTGTCCAAAAAAGAACAGGAGCCGGACAAGCGTCGCACGGAATACATTTACATTAAATATCACATTTATCGGGAGTCCATGCGCAAGCTGCAACAGAAGCAGGAGGACGAGAAGAAATGGATAAGTGTCATTATTAATCCCATTGGCAAATGGTGGAAGGCAGCGAAGCATTCGGTTGCCTGGCGTCTGTTGAATATAGCACAAAATGGCAGCCAAGCGGAACGTCTAAAGGCAGTGCAGCAGCTGATATGCATGGATCATTTAAAGGACTGGGACTTTCGGCATCTGGCACAGATCTGTGATGCACGCACCTCCGTCTCGTTGGCCCGCTGCGGCGCCGACATGCGTTGGTTTATGCCTCTGCCACGCCGTGGCTGCATTAGGAATCCCAAAATGCTGCTCTGCGATCTGCACGTAATGCTTTCCCGGCTGCGCCCATTGTCCTGTGTGGATCACTTCTTCAGCAAATATTTTCCAGATCAGCATAGTATCGTAAGTCCGAGACTAGACATTTAAACAGAACCTTGGCTAAATTATTTGATTCCCCTTTCAGGAGGAGCTCAACGAATTCTTCACGCAGGATCAAAACGTATCGCTAGCTGTGCAGGACACAGACTTACTCAAAGAAGTCATTTCGTTTCTGCATCACATCACCAAGGATCCGAAGATTGCGGCCAAAATCATACACGATGGTGGACTGATGCATTTAATGGAGTTGCGCAAGATTTTTGCCGACGACAACGAGACGCTTTCAACGCTATGCAAAGTGCTTGCCAATCTATCGTTGGTGCCGGATGCAGTGGAGCATTTCTTCGTCTCTGGCTGGGTTGGTGCGCTGGCCGAATGGCAGCAGTGCCCCGATTTGCGTCTCCAGGTCATCTCAGCCAAGACAATGGCCAATCTGGATCATGATGATCCCAATCAGTTTACATATCCGCCCAATGTATATCCGCTGCATCCGCGTGTACGCACTCGCCGCAAGCCCAAGGCAGACATTGTCTTTATACATGGACTGTTGGGTGGCGTCTTTATTACCTGGCGACAGCGAGATCGTAAACCCACCGAACTGGGTCTATATGGCAAGAATGCTTTCTATACCAGCGAAACGGACGATGTGTTTCTCGTGGGCGAACCAAAGCGCAACGGCAGTAGACATCAGTACAACAAGCAGCAGGGCAGACCGTTGATTCCCGCCCAGTTACCAGCCACCAGTGAGGCAACCAAGATAAACACCAACAAAACCAATGCCATGAAGGGTATGTCCAAAACAAATTTTCTCTTTATCGTTTTGTAAATAAATATTCGTATCCTCACAGATTCGCTGTTGAAGACCAGCAAGAAGGTAGAGGAGAAACGTCTGAACATAAGCGATGCGGCCACCAAAGAGTTTGTGGAAACCCTATACAGCGAGGCTGAGCTCGATTCGGATTGGGAGGTAGTGCATCCAGATATCCCGCTAGAGGGCAGTGCGGATTGTCAAGGCAATTTCAGTGTCTCGGGCAACGAGTGGAGCAATCAGGATGCAAGCGAAGAGTACACAAACTGCTGGCCCATGGAGTGGCTGCCCGATGACTATCCCGATTCACGGTAAGCACATCAATCAATGCAGCTGTCCAATTGATTTATTTTATATTTTTATTACAGCATCATTGGCATTGACTATACATCAGCGGTGACCGAGTGGTCGGCCAATTTCACCAAGTATTGTCCATGCGAGAAGGGCCAGGGTCATATTGAAGTGCGTGCCAGCTCACTGTTGGAACGCATTGCCACCGCCGGCGTTGGCAATGGCCGGCCTGTGGTATGGATTGGTCATTCCATGGGTGGTCTGCTAACCAAGCTTATATTGCTTAAATGTGTGGATTCTGTGGAGGAGAGGCTGCAACAGATTGCCAAGAATACGCAGGGTATAGTGTTTCTGGGCACACCGCATCGCGGCTCGCCGATAGCCAAATGGAAACAGCATATGCAAATGATACTCTCGCCATCGATTGAGGTAAAGGAAATGGAAGAGAATTCACCGAAATTGCTGGAGATGCATCGCCGTTTCATGGGCTGCCTACACACCTGCCTGCGTCACGTGAATGTGCTCAGTCTGGCCGAAGGATCACCCACCATGCTGACCACATTCAAGTTTCCGTTGCGCATCGTTACTGAGGAATCATCCCGCATCGATTTCGGTGATTTCTTTTTGCTCAAAGATGATCATCTTAGCCTCTCCAAGCCCATTTACCGCCAATCGTTTGTCTATCAACGCCTATTGCATGTGATCAGTGAGGCAATAGATCAGAGCACCGAACCGAGAGAAATGGATGAGCAAGCCTTGCCAAATACAGATTTACTTGCAATGAACATTGTCGCTGTACTACTAAAGGGCGCCAAGGGGCTGCTCGAGATGCTGCCTCGCGTCGCCCTGCGATTTACCACATAAATGCCGAACAGCTTACACAAACACGCTTGTACCTTGATATAGCTATGCATCCAGCAGGCAATTTTAGTTTGTAGTTTTTGGAATTAATAGTATTTCTCTTAAGCGCGACTCGCACTGTTCGTGTTCACAATATGTATACATATATATATATATATATATATATATACATACATATATATAGACGACTGTAAAATCCTTCTATACGAATCTTAATTTATTTCTTAATCTACAATAAATAACAATTTCTTTTTGAAGAATATCCTTGTTTCACTATGTAACTTCTGCAGCTGCACTGGCCTCCATTTGCTTAGCGCGTAGTCGCTCCTGTGCCAGGCGGCGATTCTCTGCAATGCGCGCCATCTGTTCGGCGGATAATTGACCACTTTTTGTTGCCGGCGTAGCGGGCTGCGATGGCGGCAAGGGTTGTCCATAATCGCTGATGCTGTCGTCGTCAGCTATCGCGGGCACAGCCACGGAATATGGTGTGGATACAATAGCATTGCGTGAAAATGATGGCGTCACTAGTGCACTGCTTGTCGTGGACAAGCTGCGACGATTGACCGCTGGCGTCCGCGGCGCCAGTTTAGACATGGCAATTTGTTCGCCCAAGAGGGCATCAAATTCATCAAAAGGCTCGGCGGCGGCATCGTTGTCTTCATCATCGGCATTGTCCTGCAGTTCGCCGTCATGGTCCAACAGCTCCTCCAGCTGATTCAGGCGATATCGTGCCATGTGAACCTGCAGTGGCTTCTTATTTCCCAAACGTTCGATGTTGTTAAGCACATCGTCAAACGTGTAGTTTGGATACATACGATGGCCCCAGTGCTGCAAGCGGCGCAAGATCTCGTCCAAGTCGGCCTTTTCATGCCCCTTGCCCTTGTATTTAATGTCCTTGAAATAGTTTTCGATCGTGTGCAAGCCGCGTGGTCCGCGCAGTGTGTCCACAGTGAGCCGTGGCCGTGGATTTCGCACAGCACGCTTTTTAGGCTCTACCTTGACGGCTTCCTGTTCACCTTCGCCAGCCGCATCTGCAGCATCCTCGTCGTCACCGAACAGTTTTTCGCCGGCATCCACCTCGCCATCACTGGGTAACTGATCGTTCTCGATGCCAATGTTGTCATTGAACAGGTCATCAACCCCATCCTCACCAAATATGGATGTCATCGCGGAATATTGAAGTCCACAAAGCCACCACCGTAGAGTCCAGAAATACAAGCTGAATTGCCGCCATTTTTCTGCTTCTATGTGCTGCCATTCACAGCGAATGTGCACATGTGATGCCAACTCGCGTCTTGGATTACGCCTCTTTGTTACATAATTTTTGTGCTTGGCTGCTGTCGAATTACAATTATTTGTTGTTAAGAATAATAAATGGAAATATTTGTACAATGTTTTGAGCAGTAGACCAAATTTGGCAAACAATAGCAAGTGGTGAAAATTAGCAGTTGGCAGCGTGGCGCTATTTAGCAACCCTGCCATTGTGTAGCCTGGCAACACCAACAACGCCATACTTCTAAAATGCTTTTTTCGGGCGAGTTTACATTATCCGCATAAAACTTAAAAACAGCAAAAGCAAGTAAAAGAAGTATTTATAAAGTTTTAACATAGCAAATAAACTAAAAGTTACTGCCACATGCCATAACGTCAATGTAATTAATACGCTAAATTGTTGCGAAAACGCATTTTTCTGGGAAAAAGCGATAGCAGAAAAATTAAGAGTGTGGTGAATAAAACGGTTTTACGCATTTTACTGTGTTAGTCCATCAGCTGCGGCTGTCAAAATTTGGCGTGCCGTGGTGAATAGGCGCAAGCCGAAAACAAAACACGACCAAACACTATGAACAACTTTCTGTAAACAATAATAATAATAGAGCGTGTGTGTCGTGTGTGACTGTGAAATGGATAAGCGTTTCAAACGGCCAATGAACCAACAGAGAGGTGGTTATGTGGATCAACAAAACTACGGCCAACATGCACCAAGATCCGCCTATCAGCAGCCCTACAATAACTACACACACCCCAATCATGGCTACAACAGCTACAACAATAATGGCAATAACTATTACAAGCCCCCGCCACCGCCGCAGCAGCCCACAAATGTCAGAGGTGGTGGCGGGTGCGGTGGCGGTTGGTTGGACCCAGCACCGTTGCCGCCGGATTGTGGAAACGCCAATAACGGCTCGGATGTGGTCACATTGATAGTGGAGAACAATAATTTGAAGCGGATGATTGTGCTCCATCTGAATGTTATGCAGGATCAGACCGAAAGCATATTGGACAAAGAGAAAGAACTGGAGGATAAAAATGGACGCATCAAAACGTTGCTCGCCCAGAACCAGGAGCAGATGCAGCAGATAGCCAAACTTAGCCTAACCATTGAGGATCTGCGCAAAGAATTCCGTAGACATATGAAGCGGTCGGCTAACGATACTGATGGACAGCCCAAACTGAAATCACAATGTTGTGCGGATAAACAAACGCAGACACCGGACTTTGTCCCAAAGGAGACGGTGCTGCATGGCTATAAACATGGGACACATTTAAAGCAGACACAAAACGTGTTAGTTACGTCTGTAACAGATTTGCCGCCTACGACACCTGCTTTTGAGAATAGTAAGGTGCGCGGCGAGTTCAATGGCGGCAAAAAGGTGAGAACGTTTTTCTTGCACCGTGTGCATCAAGAGGAGGAGCAGGAGCAACAGCAGGAACATGAGGAGGAGGAGGTGCAACAACAGGAAGACGAAAGAGAGAAACAGCAGCAGGAGCAGGAGCAATTGCAATTGCAGCTAGACGAAGATGAGTTGCACACACACATGGACATTGGCGAGGAGGAAGAGCTGGAGGTGGAAGTGGACGAGGAAGAGGAGCATATCTATCACGATGCGCTCGATACGCATGAAATGGAAATAGTGACTGAAACAATTATTGGCGCCGAGGAGGAGCTAGGCGCCGAGGAGACTGCCGAAGATAATGATAACATTAATAATGGACACATCTACGAAGAGGAAGTCGAGATGGAGCACGAAATTGTTAACAATTGCGATGCGGATAATCTCTGGCAGCAGGAAGCAGATGCGGAGGAGGAACAGCGACTGGTAAGCTTTTGTTATAGCCACAAAAGAATCTATTCCTTAAACCCGATTCGCTCTTCTTTTTCAGTGGCATGCAGAGTTGGACAGCCAGATGGAGCTGGAAGAGCAGCAGCAAAAACTCATTGCAACGCCTCCTACACAACATACAACACAATTCACAGATGACGATATTGATAATTCGTTATTCCAAGTGCAAAAATGTGATGAACCGATCCACACAAAGCTGCAAAATGCACTAAGGGAACCCAACACAAAACAGGCGTCAATCAAATCAAATGTGGACGAATTAGCAACAAAGCCACGCAAATTAAGGTTGCCAGCGACGCCGACTAAAGCTGTAGCCAATCATCAAGCAACCAAGTCGCAACTGGAAGCCACAAAGAAGGAGCGAATGTTGGGTAAATCAGTGAAGCAGCCGCCAACGGGGACACAGAATGCAGCAACAGCAAATGATAAAGCGATATTGGCCAAGCCAACGCTGCAGCAACGGGAGCAGGAAAGGCAACAAGAGAAGGAGCAGGAAGCGCAGAGAGAGCGGGAGCGAGATCAGGAAGAGCAGAGGAAGCGAGAGCAGGAGCGGGAGCAGGAAGAGCAGAGGGAACGAGAGCGTGAGCTGCAAGAGCAGCGAGAGCGTGAGCTGGAACAGCAGCGGGAGCATGAGCTGGAAGAGCAGCAAGAGCGTGAGCTGGAACAGCAGAAAGAGCGTGAGCTGGAACAGCAGAAAGAGCGTGAACTGGAAGAGCAACAAGAGCGTGAGCTGGAAGAGCAGCAAGAGCGTGAGCTGGAAAAGCAGCGGGAGGATGAGCTGGAACAGCAGCTGGAGCGGGAGCGTGAACAGAAGCTGGAACGGGAGCAGCAAAAGGAGCAGGAAGAGCTGGCCAAACGCGAGCAACAGCTGGAGCGGGAGCAGCTAAAGGAGTGCGAGGAGCAGCTGGAGCGGGACCAGCAGTTGGAGAGCAAGCAACAGCTGGAAAGCGAACAGCAGGTGGAACGGGAACAGCAGGTGGAACGCGAGAAACACCGGAAGCGGAATCAGCTAAAGAAGCGCAAAAAGCAGTTAAAGCAGGATCAGAAGCTGGAGCGTGATCCGCAGCAGGTAGAGCGGCAACGGTCGAAGAAGCGTGATCAGAAAAAGGATCAGCTGAAAAAGCGCACTCATCAAAAGGAGCGTAAAAAACACGGCGATCGTAAACAAAACGTCGAGCGTGCACGTCATAAGGGGACACAAAAACAGCTGGAACAGCAGCCGGAGCGGGAGCAGGAAAAGCAAACGGAACGGGAGCGTAAACAACGCGAAAAGCAGGAGCAAAAACAGACAGTAGCGCAAACAGAGGAGCCCAACATCGAAGAGGAGACGATGCGCAAACTACACGAACATTTGCAAAAGCAGCAACAGCGACTGCAAAACCAGCAGCAACAATTGCCGCTGGTGCGGCTCAAAAAGTCGCCCATGCAGACGGGCAGCAATACCAACCTCATATATCCACCCATAGCGCAGACGAGCGCCACAATAACACCCGCGCCCTCACCAACAAATGCGGCATCGCCCAAGCTGAAGCTGGTGAACAACAACAACAACAACAACAGCAGCAACAACAACAATAGCAGCAGCAGCAACAACAACAACAACAATAGTATAACATTAACAAGAGTAACATCGGTAACAACCGTAACAATGATCCAAACGCCGCTGACACCGCAGTCCATCAGCAGCGTCGGCAGCAGCAGCAATAGCAGCAGCAGCAACAACAACAGCAGCAGCAACACCAACAACAACAACACGAACACTAGCGACAACAACAAGCGCTTGGGCAGCACGAGAAACAACTCGAAATTCCGCACATCGCTGCAGCCATATACGACACGCTCCTGGGAGGATCAAGAGTTTCATTGTGACAATGAATTCTTTCTGGAGGAGGCCGATGAGCTGCTCGCCGACAATCCCAGTCTGGAGATACCCAAATGGAAGGTGGTGCATATAACACGCTCTGCGGATTCCAAAGGCACAGAGCCGCTCAGCGATGCGGACTTTGTGCGTCGCCACGAGAAGTATGTCCGGGATGAGATTGAGCGCAAGAAGCGCGATGCACGCTACTTACGGGAACAGATGCGCAGCGAGGCGTTACGTTTGCGTCACAATCAGGATGAGGTGTTGATACCGCTCGATCCACTGCCAACGTCTACCTTCTATCCGCTGCCCGAGGATATTGAGGGCATACAGTTCGTTACCGAAGTGCCTGTCCAGGCGTTTGGTGAGAATATGATTAACCTGAAACCGGAATCCGAACACTTCTCGCTGCCCTGGCTGGATGCGGTACATGCGCCGACAGCGGATGCCCGAGCCAAGGCGCAGGCTGCGCCCGTGGCGACGTTGGCCAGCAAAAAGCTGCCCACAACCGCCGCCGAGGCGCGACATCAGGAGATGAATTCATCGTATGTGTTCCTCAAGCGACGCAAACGTCAGCGGAGACGTTAGGCTCGCAGCAGCAGCAGATGCCGCATGCCGCATGCCACATGCCACATGCCTGCTAAAGCCCACACATTGACGTTGCATGATGCTGATATATATTTATATATACATATATATATATCTATATCTAATTTTTTTTTAAACCCCCTTTTTTTTTATTAAACCTAATTTGTAACAATAAATAATAACAGTCGTTAGTTTCTAGAGACTTTAAAGTGTAGAACAAGCTCGGAACGTTCAGTCTGAGCTTGTTTCAAAGGACGTAAACAAAACTTATGTTAAATATTTATATATACAGTCAAAAAAACAACAACAACAACAAACAAAACATCTCAGCTTAATTCTGAATTGATAAGAGCAAAAAAAAACCGCAGAAAAGTTTGGTTTGGCTTTAACAAAATGAAAATTGTAGACTTCAAAAGCTTTCTTTGCTGCAAATCCTATGTATATGATTTATTTAAGAAAACCATTTTTTTTTCTTCTATTTTTACTGTGCAAAACCGAGTGTATTTATAATTTGTTATAAAGATCCGTGGTTCTTCGACAAATGCAGGCTGGTTAGGGTGTGCGTGTGTGTGTGTGTAGTTTGAGAAATTCGTTACTCAGGTATATATTTGTGTGTGAAGCTTGTAGTGTGTGTGTACTGGATAAATTTCATAGATTTTATTATGTGTGTGTTGTTTGAACACAAATCGAAGTCTGATCGTCATTTGACTGGGATAAAACATTTGGTCTGCATTTTGTGAAAGCCATGGTTCTACGTATGCAAACAAATACATATTATACATATTTTTGTTTAATTATAATTTGGAAAAAAAAACAACAACAACAATACAGACTCTTGTTTCATTTTGAGAGAAGAGAACCCACAAAAACTTGATTTACAAGCAATAAAATGAGAAAGAAAAAAACTCAAGTTAAAATGTCTCAATATATTTGATTTGTGGCGCGTCAATAGCAGATATATATATATATGAATATGAATATATATCTCCATATCTCGCCGTGTGCAACGTTTTGCAGGGCAACTAGATTGGCGGCTTTTGGCACGCTGGCACATACCCTGTAAATTGTAGCTCTTAAGAACCTAAATTAACTAGCCTAAGTAGACGCGTGACTATATAGCATATATCTATATATATATATATGTATAAATAAATTAAAACCTAGCAATATATATTTTGTATTCTTGAAATTTGTACACAGCAATTCGCTCGATGCGCATGTTTATTGCAAATAACATTTGCCTTGCAATTTTACTTTGTATAAGATAACAATTAAAATAGATTGTAATTAACGTAGCTGTTAATTAGTTCAATTTGCCGCAGCTCCACTAAATTAATTGCAATAAAGCGCTAAACGAACACGTTAACAAAAGCAAATCTTCCCAGAAACTATGAACACCACATCAAATGTATTTGTACATTTAACTGTTTAACAAGTTTTAATGTAAATTATGAAAGTTTATATATAATAATAATAATAATAATAATACATATACAAATAAAGTAAAATGCGAAATTTTCAATACAAAAACCTGGAAAGTTTGTTTGTTTTTGTTTTTCGCGCATAATTGAAAATACTAATTGACCAAAGTTTAGTTGCGGACGGAAGGATTCAGCTCTGGGCCTATTTGGTGCTCTGTGTGAGATACTGGTGTGCCGTAGTCGCCCATAGTTCATCAATTGAGTCCATACTCTCGCGCCAGAGCTGCTCGAGAAGCAGCCAGCCCTGTGCCTGGGTGACCAGCACATAATCATTGCTCGGATGCAGCGTGTGCGTGTAGGCGCCCATGATGAGACTCTGGGCGAGCCGTGCGGCCACACAATACTTTAGATAGTCACGATCCGCGGCGCTAATTGACTGGATGCTGGTGTAGCCGGCTAGAAAGATGCCGCCACTGGCCAAATCCTTGGCTTGCAACATCATGTAGCTCATGGCAATGCCCAGCTCGAAGATCAGCGGCGAACGGCTGGTGTCACCAAAATCGATGACTCCTGAGACCCGATACGAATCTGGACGCTCGGTGTCTGCCGTCGGCGCATTGACCACAATATTCTGTTCGTTGTAATCGCCGTGTATGATCTGCAGTTCCATTGTGGACAGCACGCCCAGCACTTTTGACTCGAATGCATCGATGATTTCCTCACACAGCGCCCTGCGCTGGTGATCCTCGAGAGCGTAAAGAAAATCACGTAACTGTGGCACCGACTGCAGCATCCAGAGCGTCTTGTGCGTATCGTAGGCCTTGTGCGTAAAGTTCTTTAGCGCACGATCCAACTTGGCCAAATATTCGCCGCTCTGGTAGAGCAAATTTTTGGTCACCGGCACCTCGTGGAACATTTTTCCAGGAATAAACTCCAAAAGGCGTACCACATGTGCATTGCCACCGATCTGTTCCACAGAATAATATTTGCCACGTGCATTGGCGATGGGTCGGGGACAATGCACGTGCTGTTTGGCTGTAGTGCATATAAAACAAATATATGGTTAATAATGTAAACACTTGTGTCAATATGTATTTTGTTTTTATAATTTTATATTAACCCAAGTAGAGCAGCAGTTGATTTTGGGCGTCCACAAATTCCTCCTTTTTTGAATCCAAAGCGTTGAGAATTTTCAGCACATAACCATGAACGCTGTGCGACACAATCAGCGGATTCTTAACATTGCTAAACAAATATATATTTAAAGATAAACAAAAAGCGTTTTTTAAAACTTTTTAAAATAAAATAATTTGCAGTGTTGGTAAACATTGTAAAGATGGCGCCAAATAACCACCACATTCGTGGTGAATGGCAGCGGACATGAAGAAGCACGATTTTTTTTGGCGGGAATCATTGGGGCTGATTTTGTTGCTTCTAGAGCTGTGATTTGTTTACATTCAATATTAATAATTAGTAATTAAGCGTTTGTGATGGGCATAACCGGGCTGATACCTTTTCTGGAGAAGGCGTCGGCCAAGATGCACTTGAAGGATCTGAGCGGCAGCACCGTTGCCGTGGACACCTACTGTTGGCTGCACAAAGGTGTCTTCAGCTGCGCCGACAAACTTGCCCGCGGCGAGGATACGGATCTTTATGTGCAGTATTGCCTGAAATATGTGCTCATGCTGCTCTCCTACAATATTAAGCCCATTTTGGTGTTCGATGGCCAACATTTGCCGGCCAAGGCGCTCACCGAACAACGGCGCCGCGAATCGCGCCAGCAAAGTAAAAAACGCGCCATGGAACTGTTGCGACTGGGTCGCACCGATGAGGCACGCTCCCAAATGCGGCGCTGTGTGGATGTCACACACGAGATGGCGCTGCGTCTCATCCAGGAGTGTCGCATGAGACACATTGACTGCATTGTGGCGCCCTACGAGGCGGACGCACAAATGGCCTGGCTCAACAAGGCGGGCATTGCACAGTATATAGTTACAGAGGACTCGGATCTGACGCTGTTCGGTGCACAGAAAATAATCTTTAAGCTGGACCTGAATGGTGCCGGCCTGCTGGTCGAGGCCGAGAAGTTTCACCTGGCCATGGGCTGTACCAAGGAGCGCTATCGGTTCGATAAATTTCGGCGCATGTGCATACTGTCCGGCTGCGACTATCTGGACTCGTTGCCGGGCATTGGCCTGGCTAAGGCATGCAAGTTTATGCTTAAAACGGAACAGGACGATATGCGCATAGCATTGAAGAAAATCCCACAATATCTCAACATGCGTAATCTGGAGGTGAGTGCGGAGCATCAAATGAGACTTATTTCAGATTGTAGTTCTTAAATATTCGTCAGGTGGATGATGCTTACATAGAGAATTTCATGAAGGCGGAGGCCACTTTCAAGCACATGTACATCTACAATCCGCTGGAGCGACGCATGGAAAGACTGAGCGCTCTGGAAGATCATGAAACCGAGGAAGGCCACTGCAGCAATGCGGGCTCATTGCTGGCGGATAGCGAAAAGGCACTTCATCTGGCGTTGGGCAACCTAAATCCCTTTACGCTCAAGAGTTTGGACAATTGGCATCCGGACAAAGCGACTGACTCGAAGACAACGTCAGCAAAGCACATTAAACGCACCAAGCACAAAAGTATATGGCAAGCGCAGTTCAACAATGCACAAGAAGTGGAGCTGGCGACGCAGCCAAGACCCACAACATGCGCGCTCTTCTTCAAGAAGGTGGACTTCGTTGGCCAGACCATCCAGTCCGAAATTGAGGCCAATCAGCGCCAAGAGCAGGCGAAGCACACAGAGGCCGAGCTGTTCAGCTTGTACAGCTTCAAGGGTAAACGCAAGCGCAGTCCGAGCAGAAGCAGCAGCAACTCTACGCCGCCGCCATCGCCCGTGCAGAGTAAAAGTCGCCACAATCCGTTTGCGAGGGAGACAACGCAGCTTCCGTCGGCAGTGTGTGAAAATGCATCACTGCTGCGTCTAGTCAGTCCGCTGAGGTCAGCCGAAGAGCCAGTCAGACCAGAGACGAAGCGTGTGAATGCGCTGAAGCGCAGCATTTTTGCGGAGGAACAGCCGCAGGTGGAGGTGCGCAGTCGCTTCTTCAGCGCGCAAACGCCAGAGCCACATCCGGAGCCAAAGGTGGTTGCCGAAAAAAAGACACAACAGGAACTGGAACTGGAGTCCACAACAAGTGCAGCAGCTGTAAACGATGCCAACAACAACAATCACAACGACGACGACATCGTTTTGCTAGCCTCCTCCGGCTCGGACGAGGACACCAGCTCGCAAAGCGCAACGCTGCCGAGCAGTCAAGAGGCTGCGCTGCCCGCCAAGCCCCAACTAAAACTGGCGACAAGCGCCCGCCGCGTGGGTCTGTCCAAGCCAAAAACGAAGAAGAAGACGAAGTCCGCCTCACTCGGCGACAATCAAACCAAGCTCAGCGCGTTTGGATTTCAAAAACGAAGCGTTCTCAAATAAGCTGCCATAGACCTAAGTTTTTTCCTTTTTTTTTTACGTTAATTGTTGGCATTATGTTTAAAATATTTATTAATTAACTATTTAAAGACTAAGGCTATGCATGCATAATACTGCCCCATTTTAAATATTCACTAAGTAAACCTGAAATCTGGCATAGAGCTATTTCCATGCTGCTCGAAGGGCTTTAAATCTTTGACTCCCTAGAAATAATATCTAGGTAAGCTAAGGTTAGGATCTGCAGTCGGATACGTGTTGTTATTAAATAAAGTGCGCTGTCATATGATCTCAAAGAGATGCGCCAGCCAAAAGTTAGCCCGTCTCCAGATAACAAAAGAGGCTGCTGTCAAGGTGACCGACAACAACAACAACAGAGGCCGCAACTGCGTCAAGCTCAATTGGCCCCCGCACGACTTACTAACTTTAATTAATATCTAGCTATAAATAAACTAAAATGTGTGTGTGTGTGTGTGTTTAGAGACCCCCCCTCGGCACTTAGAGCAAACATTTATCTTTTGTGTTTTTATACTCTAACAGAGTATATTATTATAGTCTTTTGTGACGATATATTTTGTACGAGGAGGTGGTTCCGATACGAAAGAGTATTTATATATAAGTCGAACCCATTGAGAGTTGTTGGAATAAGTATAAGGTTTTGTGGTAACGTATCTAATTGGCAGAAGAAAGCATCTCAGAACACATAAAGGTAATCTATTTTACGTAGCATCAAGAAGAGCTAGAGACATTTTGATTGGAGGTCTCGAAGTAGAAACTATAAAAATCGATTTATTAATACTCTTTTTTGAGAGCAAGAGACATCCAAATCGACATATATGACGCTCGCATATATCTCTCGGGAGTATATCTCTAAGGTTTTGAGATAGGGGGATTATATAAAGCGATCTGAGAGATTGATTGGATGAGACCTTCGTATTCGGACTCCTCCGATTCTACGTCTCCTTAGAAGATGCCTAGACAGATTTAAGAACTAGAGACAGCTTA